TCGTAATATTAGTAATAAGTAATAATATAAACTAATATTACCTACGTGTACCGACTAGTGTATATATATATATATATATATATATATACATACACACACATATATATTGCAGACTATATATGTATATATAGTCTGCATAAAGACTATTTATTGGAGCATTCAAAGATTGACATCAAAAGGAAGGACTGTGATGAAAAATATTTTCAATTATCAAAACATGCCTTAGAATAATCAACAGAAATGCTGCATAAATTAAAAAGATCACCAGGGTACAAGCTGTAATGTGGGATATAATGTGCCATGGGTTTGAGAAGAAAGACCCACATTGCAGTGGAGATACCCCATCTACCAGTTTTAACCTTTGTTAACTAGTCTCACAGGTTAAAGAAAGAAAGAAATATAAACAGAGAATAAATAAGTAAAATAATAATAAATAAGGAGAGTGAGATGTGGGTGCTCAAGCCCACAACATTCTACATCTATATCACCCTTCACTGCCTGCAGACACTTGTCAAAGAAATATAAAATGAAATAAAAACGAAAAAAGGTCTTACCACTGGAGGTAAGCAACGCAACCCCTATTAGCAAACACTGGCATTCCAGCCCCCATTATAGTAGTAAAATCCTAAATTAATAAGTTAATTATGGTACAGTAGACAAATTACACTAGTATAAAAGTGTAAAAAACCCAAACAAGCTATCTAAACTAGTATAACTCCCAACCCCCACTGTAACTACTAATTTTCAGACTTTATCTACCCTTTATAAGAACTTTTATATTATGTGCAATAATGGTGTTCATACATGTATGAAAATAGTGCCAAGTTGTTTATATGGCCTTATTAAAAACTAAAATATTTCAAGCAAAATTTTTTAAATTCTTATTTCTTTATATTTATGTAATACATACTTGCATTTAACAGAAACCATTTTAATAATATCATTTAACGTATTTTTATTAAATCCATTAAATATAAATTTTTGCCTAAATATTTCAACATTGATTTTTTACAAATTTTTCAGAATCTGAGAAATTGTGAAGTAATAATACTTATAAAAGAAAAATATGGCATATTACTATTAAGGTATTGCCATATATTGGAATAGAAAAAATGTTCTTCCATGAAAAATATTTATATTAATATTGTTATTATTTTAATTTCTACATCTAAATAATGTGCCTTTACAAAGAAATATGATTTTTTCCATTTCTAATTCTACCAGATAAATAATGTTAATCAAGTTATTTATCTCAGGATTAGTTATACTAATTAAATCATCTATATATCCATAGGTTAAAAAAAAATTTCTGTATTTATATCACTTGGAATAAACTTATTTTCATAAAAATAAAGATATCAATTTGCTATACAAGTAGAACACTTAGCTCCCATTGGAGTTCCTATCACCTGATTATTGAAAAAAATTATAAATACAGAAACTTACTATATCTTTTACATTTTTGGAGGTAAAATTTCTTTTTTCACGCACTATGGAAGGACTACAGCATTGTTCTAACAATGAATTTAAATCTTTCCATGGAATTGACATATGTATATATAGTGGTAAAATCAAATGTTTGAATAGCTCTCACTTGTTCACAGTTACTTAAATATGCTAAAATGGGTTGATTATCTTTTACTATCCAAAAAAGTATGTTTACTGTTTTTACTATTTATATTTTTAATTCTATCAAATAAAAGACTAAGTAATTTACTTAATAAAGTGGCCAGTTGCTTGATAATTGTTTTTCACTGAACTGGAAATAAATCTAAATTTAATCAGAGATTTATGCAGTTTAGGAATAGCATACAGGAAAGTTATATCTAAAAATGAATTTGGTTTAGAATATAGTTTTTATATATCTTAATGAAATTATTAATTACTGTAGTCTTAGATTGGTTATAATGTTTAAATGCTTTAGATCCCTTTTTAAGAATTTCACATAATAGTTTATCTTTTACAATTTCTAAGTTACCAGTAATAATATGTACATTCACAAAGTAAATTATTTAATTGATCTACATTCAAATTAGTTAAAAAATACTTATCTATATACTACTAAAACTCTGAGATTGTTTGTCTGTAATTAAATACAAAAATACACTTAAAAGTACAACATGTAGATTATCTTTAACTGCAGTAATTTTAAGTACAGCACCTGCAAAGCCCAAACTCCTTCTTCATGAACACGTAATGTAGCTATGCATCTCTGTTGACCAATAGACCAGAGTCTGATTGTTCCATCAGAGCTTCCTGAAAGAACCTGAAACATAATTTTGATTGTAACAATTACAACTTGTCAAATAATACTGGACTTAAAAAATTATATAACATGCAAATTTTCAATTGTTGCACCTCCCTTCATTCCAATTTTACAAAATCATTAGACAAAAAGCCAAATAAAAGTTATTTATTAAAGCCTAAGGAAATGTTACAGTAACAATTAACATTTGACTACCATATAATTTCTATATTTTACAATTACAAAAACTTCACTTTTGTTGTTTGTCACAGTAGCAAAATTGCACATTGCTTGTTTCAAATTTAACATTTGTGGATTTTATTGTTTGAAAGAAATTGTTGCCAGCACAAGTCTCATATGATCTAAGATTGGTTTTCATCAATATCAGTTTGGAAAAGACTTTCTCCTCTAACAATGACAATAACCAAAGTTAACAGAATTTTTCATTGTGACAAATGATTTGTGAAACAATAATGCTGATCAGTTCTTGTATATGTATTCCAGTATACTTTTGCAAGTAATTTTAATCACCCTCAGAAAAATATTTCATCAACATATAGGAACCACTGAATTTGTTAAAGGTTTATCTAGATGGAAGGGACTAATTCAGTTTCAAAATATTCCATGAAAAGATTGCACAGTATTGGTGACAGTGGATTTCCCATAGCCATTCCATATTTTTGTCTAAAATACTGTTTTCTTTGTGGCCAAACAAAATAAGTAATTTTGAAAGTGTTTTCAACACCTTAATCAACTTCACCCAACTATCAAATTTAAAATTGAATGGGAAAAGGATGACCAACTTCCTTTCTTGGATGTTTTGATAACCAAAAAGCATCACAGAACCAGTCCTCTCAGTATACCACAAACTGACAAATTCTTTAAGTTATGTTCACTTATTTTCATGTCACAGGTCAAAACATCTATTATTTCATCATTTTTTTAGAGCATATAGAATATGGCACCTGACAACACTTGAACGTCGAATTAAAAATATCTTTTCTATTTTCAAAGAACTACATTTTCCACAACATTTCATTACAAATTGCCAACTCAAAGCAAGAAAAACCTTGTTCCATGAAGATAAAGAAAGATCAACCAAATAATAATGTGAAACCACTTTATATTGGCTACAACACTAACATTGAACACTTGAGAAAATATTAAGAAAGAATAACTTTCGAATCATATACAAATATCCAAACACCATTAAGAATAACCTAACTTCAAACAAAAAAAACACACCTGAAGATAAAAAACAAGGCATTTATATTATACCATGCCAATCCTGTGAGAAAGGTTATGTAGTTGAAACTGGAAAAAGTGTTGACACAAGAGTTTCTGAACATAAAATATAAAATATGGAAACCAAAACAGTGCCATTTTTCTTCATGTGATTGGAAATTAACAAGAATTTTATACAAAACAGATAACTACATAAAAAGAAGAATCGTCAAAAGTTCCTTAATCAAAAGCCTGCCTAATTTAAACACTTCCCAAGGTCATTTTAAACTTAACTTCCTGACCTCCTGTGTTCTGAAAGGAATTCCAAGATTAGGGGTCACATAGGCATTTGTTGACCAGTTTTTTCCTGTCATAAGACAATGTGAGACTGAAGAGGACGAAACTAGTTTCTTTAATATCAGACTTTTGACAGTTTGTTCCATTTACCATGGTTTTCAATAATTCGTATACTTGATATTGTGTTTTTCTATTATTATTTCTACATATATTCTTTAAACTATCATCATGTTTCTATCATCATACCTTTGGCCTCAGAGGTCTTCCACATAGAGTCATTTTCTCAATTTTGCTTAAAACAACTTCAGTCATACTGGCACAACTTGTGTCCATTAGCAGCACAAATCCAAGTAATTGTGTGAAGTATAGATGAGTAAAATCAAGTATAGAAAACATTCAAAACTTTGTGCAGAGAACTATCATTCTCTAGCTTATAAGTCTTGCAATTTATAAGTAACTAGATAAAGAATGCAGTGTTAAAAAAATGTAATAATGTATTCCCTTTGTCTTATGACAACTATATGTATAATCATTCTCGGGTGTTTGTAATAGTTGTGTAAACACTATAACAAATGTTGTTGTTGTTCCAAATTGCTTATATAAATAGTGTTCCGAAACAAAGAGTAATATAGAAAAAAACACTTAAAACGATAGCTTATTGTAGAAAATACACCAAATCATATCAAAAAGAAATGAAACATTAGTTATATAGAGAATACAAGGAAAACTCACAAAATGAATGTTAGCCATGAGGAATATGGAAAATCACAAATGCTAATAAAAAAACATGTTAAGCCATGCACAAGACACATAAAAGATACATAGGTTGAGAAAACACACAAAATATCTGACAGCAGTCAACATAAGTCTGGATCTTGATGGAAAACAATTGAATCAGCTCATTCTGAAAGTCCTTACCTACAAAATGCTTATACCTTTTTTATTTTTGGTGTGGTAATTCTTCTAAGGGGTTTTCATGACAGGATCAAACCCAATCAAATATTCAAATTATTTCACAAAAGGTCCACTGTTTCAAAACTCCACCATGAGCAATATTTTCAGTTGTTGAATGTATAACTTGCCAATACTCCATCTCATTTAAACAGTTGCAGATTTTCTCTGTCAATGTTTTGTTTACTTTCAATTGAAACTGAAACTTCTTCAGATGATCAGTTGACTTTATGTTAAGTTTTACACTAAACATACAGGCAACTATTTCCAGTTCTTTGTTCATTTGTTGACAGTGAAACTTTAATAAATGTGCTCAAAATTTTGCAGAAAAAACAAAACACTGAACCCATCATATTGGTACAACTTCTCCATTTACAAGTCAATGTCTGTAATAATATTCAATAAATTTCCTTCATTATTGTCTTTTAGAGAGTCAAATGTCTACAGCTGTACTAGATCCAACAACTGTCACACATTTGTATCAGTTATTATCCATTTTGTCGGATTGCACAAATCAAACAAACCCTCATTTTCACTTTCTCTATTTTTCTTCTAAAGAACTGTGTATGTCATGTTTGGTTTCTCCAGTATGTATGAGTTGTGAAGTGGGAAGTTACTAATAGTGTTTTCACTACTATTAGCAGCAATTTTCAATTTCTTTTAATGTGTAAAATTTCAAAAACTTAAAAAGCACCTCTTTTGCTTTTCTAAATGTGCTTTTTTTGTTCTTTATCAACACTTAACACCACAGATGTTGACTTCCTTTATTCTTCTTTAAGTTCAAAGTTTAAATACTTTGAGTTATCACTATTTTATTCACTATCTTTTACTTTTTACAAACGAAATATAATTTTATAACAACATTTTTTACTCTTCACACTTCCCAAAGATGAGCATTTCTATTGTACATAGAAGAAAACTGATTGCTTTGCCACTGATCTACCACTGGCTACTTGCAGCAGACTTGCTAATGGTGGTGAACACAAAAAAAAATGATTTTATAAATGTAGTGGCTTTGGTAAATTACTTTATCTGACAATGCAGGCCCTGCTATAAAGGTTTGGAGAATAGCATTTCAAAACATGCAACATACATGAAACAAAACCAGTCTGTTTTTGTTAAATTCCCTGTGTTATCCTTCAATTTCTGAAGTATCATTTTCTAAGGTTTTTCAAAAAATATATTGCATATTCAGACAATACAATTAACTATAAGATTTCTTATTTCAACAGTATCAATCAACCTAAGTATTGATTTTCAAATTCATGAAAATAGGACAAGGATATTACAAGTTATAAATTTTGAATAATCAGAATCAAGTACATCATTATAACTATCACTAAAGTGAAATATTTACCTGAGTTCCATCCCTATTTACAAGGAGAGCTTTAACATTGTCTGAATGTCCCTTAAGTTTCATCAGTTTCTGGCATGTCCTTGGATCCCACAGTCGGAGGACTTTCTCTGTTGACCCAGAAACAATAACTGTCCCAGCTGGGTTCATTGCTAAACTATAAATGCTGTCTTTGTTTCCAACTAATGATGAGGCTTTCATTAAGAAAATGTATTATTAATTCATTTTGAAAATCAAAAAAAATATATATAAACAAACACCAGAGCAAAATTAAGTAAGAAAATAAAAATAAAACTGTACAACAAGTCTTTCAGTGCACACAAAAAAACAGTGCTTTCATAATACATAAAAATGGGGGGAAGCTGGGAGTTTAAAATCCATCCAAAAGAAACAGCCAATAATAAAAATTCTTGGAAGTCAGATAAAAGATAGTTAAAATAAATTACCACTTTTTAAGTTCAAAATACATGATTCAAGACTAAGTTCTTTGTTGTGACATAATTAAAATCTATTGGTGGCACATATTTGATAATTATGACAAAGTATGTTGGTGATTGACAATTAAACGTTGATATTTAGCTAGTAGCTTAAATTCACCTAGTTGTATTACCTTCAAGATAAAAACTGTCCCTACTTATGCATATGTGTCATCATAATGTTGTTAATTAATAAGCAGTTTGTAATAAGTTAAGAAAAACAAAGGCAACACAGCAACAAAGTGATTAAAGGCTACTAAGCTAATCGGGCAATCATAGTTTCAATGATTAATTATTAAAAAGCCTAAAGAGCTAATATTAGTCTGCTATTTACACTCAGACGTGTTTATCCTTTTTCATACCAGAGGTGTGTCATTGATATCCCAATTTTATTTTCCTTCTCACAGTGGAAATACTTAAGTAAATTGCATCAAATATAGTAAAAATTACTAAATAGTATCTAGTTTCAGCATAAAAAAATTCACATAACTTGATTTAGCTTATTATATTTTATGTTGTGAAATTTCCTAAATTTTATTATGAGACACTATTCTAACAGAAAAAAATTTTCATTTATGAATTTAAATTTTTTAATATATTTCAAAGGTTTCATTTTATATATCCATTCAGTTTCAAATTGATTGATATTTATTAACAAATTTATTTTGATACTTTGCCACTATATTTGGATATATATATCATAAAAAAAACCCACAGAAACATAGAAGTGACCTTGGACCTGACTTTTCGAAAATGCATCAGGTCAGACAAGGTAATAATATTTATGCTAACAGTATTATTGGTCAAATCTAAGTATATTTAGTAAATATACATTCTTTTCAATAGATTACAATATCCTTTATTTATGTGAATTGTTTGAATGATAAATTTAACAATAATATTCAATAAATATAGATTTGAGTCACATTTGAGTCACTGGTATACTCTGCTGTTGCAAACAGTACTCCCTAAAACTAATTAGACTTGTCTGATATCTTATCACACAAGAAAATTTCCATAGTTTCAAACAAATATAATTTAACATATTCGAGAATGAGAAGAACAGGTAAAGAAACTGTAAAAAAATTTCCAGAGCTATGATTTGTTTCTAAATATTTTAAACTTGCCATTAAATGTTTTGTTCTTTCTGCATGAGGTAGGTCTTGTCACTTGCCCATAAAACTATAAATTACTTCTCACACCACTTTATTGATTCTACATTGATGTAAATTGTTTACAATATGCTCTATCCAATGATAATTCAACTTTTCCTCTAGCTTTTTTGAAAGCTGAGATTCATTAGTAGTTGTTCAGATTACATGCTGAAAGTTCTTAAAACAGTGTGAATGAGAGGTTGTATTAATAAAATAACCAAAAGGAAAATAACATGAGAAATAAAATTATATTCTCAAAGGATGATAGTTTATCAGCAAATATAAACCTACACTTTGGGATAAGCAGAAAAATTCTAAGAAAATCAGTGAGTTGTTTACATGTGAGACTCCTTGGAGCTGTGCAGAAACTCAAGTTTAAAAACGTTTTTAATTTTCTCTGCAAAGTACACTAAACTCATTTTACAACATACTAAATATCAATTCTAAAATATTTTGTTGGAAAAAATTATCAATATATAGTTGGAATCTTTATATTTATTTAAATCTGATATACAGGTGTGCACTTGACATCTGAAAGGTACTCACTGATCCTGACAAGGTTTAATTCCAGAAGAAATGTCTCTAAAAAGTTATATACAACATTAGTACTACATATACAAGTGAGCATGTTTAATGTAATCCTTTTGTAATTAAGGTCAAGCAAAATTGCTTGAACACATTTTATACAAATATGTGATAGACACAACAAAATGAAGCAATTCCAAAAAATAAAGCTTTAAAATTCTATCTTTTACATTGATTTCACTATATTTTTACTTACTTGTCACTGTATTATTAGATGCTGTAAGAGCAGTTAAGGTATTGACATCCCACAGGAATATAGCTCGATCAAGTCCAGCAGAGGCAACTTGTTCCCTGTCTTTTGCATATGCCAAAGCTTTGACATAGTCCTACAAGGAATAAAATAGTGTAAAACCTAACAAACATTTTTATCATTTTCCATAACCTTGTAAAAACTTCAAGCCCAAAAAATAAATATTATAGCATTACATAAAAAACTAAAAAAATTTTCATTCTTCCCTGATACAAATATGCATCAAAACCAAACACAATGAAACTACTACTCTTACTTTCATAATGATGTTTTATATTTGGGTAATGATTCTCCTAAAAAATAAAAAAATTACTTCAGAAAATCAGACAATTCAAAATGAAAACGTTTATAGAATTAACTTTCATTAGTATATCTCATTTTAATTTTTTTCATATACTTTTTTAAACTTTCTTCTTATAAAATGTATCTTTTTTAAGTGAAGTTACTTTTTATTCAAATCACTACGTTAGAAACTTAATCTTCTTTCTTCAACAAATTTTTACTTTTCTTTATCAGAAAAATTCTAAAAAATATGAAACTTTGAGCAGACTAAAGACACAACGTAATTCCATGAAATCTTGGTTTGAAAGAACAAGATGGCATCCTAACACTTTAAAATGGCTGAGAAAACCATGAGGGAGACATTCTGAGCTTTCAATTGGTTATTCACATGTCGTATATTGAAGTAAGTGTACATAAGGGACTGTTTCAAAAAATGGAAAGAGGTGAGCAAGGCCACTGTGTTTGTTCAGTACATGAGTGATATCTCAGCAAATAGAAAAGATATAAGGTTCATATTTTATATTCTAGCTTGTCAATATTGGAAATTTGAGTTCCTAATTCATACGAACCTATAGTCTTAGTATTTTGACCTCACAAACATCAAATTTGAACCAGTGCTGCAGTCAACATACCACATGACACACAAAATCAATGTTTAGCTATGTTTTCATAATATTTACTTTTAAATTAAGGAATTGAATAATGTATAACACTAAAATTTGAATTATAATCTACAGTTTGATACCAAACTTACTGATATAAATTTATGAAATAGAAGTTCAATAAAATTTTGAATGAAAGTTATCAAACTCGATGACATGGCCTTTAACCTGTGACCCGTCTGGAAAGGGTTAATGAGCCACCATACGGTGATATAAAATGTTTCATGTTGGGCCAAATATGGCCTAATGGCTAGAGAACTGAAGTGTGAATCTAAGAATGGTTTGAATCATGTTGCCACAAAATCTCGCTCCTCACTTTGGGGCCATGGGTGCTTTATAAGAGTAATGCTCAAATCCGAAGAGTAGGTGCTGTTGACTAGCTGCCCTCCTTCTAGTCTATCAATACCAAATTATGGATGGCTAGTGCAGATAGACCTTGTATAGCTTTCTGAGAATATCCTAAACACAGTGTTTTAAAATTCTGTGTATGTGTGTAATTTCTTTCACCTTGTGTTGCATCACCAGGTGGGAAAAACATTGAAGAACCATAAAGAACTTATTTCTCCACACTTAATGTTAGAAAATAAGATTTTGGTTCATGTACTCATCATTGTATTATTTCACCATGTTAAATTTTTTCAATTCTAATACTGTTTTTAATTGAGTTGAGAGTTAACTACTAATAGTTAGACACCAAAAAACAAATAAAACCATTACCTTGTGAGTCCTTAGAGTTGACATACAAAATCCTTTATGGGCATTCCAAACCTTCACTGTGGTATCACTTGAAGCAGATATCACTGTAAAGGAAAATAGGTTTACTCCTCGTCATTTTAAGCTTGGTAAATTAATTACATGCTGTTTCATAATTCAATTTAATTTTAGACATTCACAAACTTTAAAAATTATTGCCAATAAATATAAATGAAAATATGAGACTGACTTATGCTAAACAAATGATTATATGTTTAAAATCATACATACATACATACATAATTAATACATTCCAATTATCAGACAGTTTTTGTTAATTTATTTCTCTGATTGGTTTTAATTGATTACCTGTCCATCTCACTGACTTATTTATTCACTATGTTCTGTTAATAACTTCTATTAATTTCAAACAACTACATTTAGTGACATTAGGTTCTTTGTAGGGTATGCCAAAATCATGCAAAATATATAGTAACTTATTGTTTATTTTCTTAAAAGGAAAAAATGTTTTATTACTTCAAAAAAATAATTACTTACAGTTTTTTCCGCCACAACACAAAACAATGTCATTGGTCCAGTCTGTATGATGTTCCATAGACTGGAGATAAGGATCCTAAAATAATAGAACTGTTACTAGAAAGTAATGTTTTCATGAAAGTAAAAAAAAAAATAAAACACCAAAATTTGAATATTCCCATTGATTATGCAAAATCTAATACTAATAACACAGCACAAAAACAAAATGATCTGAACATATCCATAAATTTCTCTTTTTTTATGTACATATTTTGATTAAAAAAAAGTGAAAAATATCTAAATGTACTTGTATTTTTCTAAACAAAAAACAATAAATTTTTGATGCATTCAATCCAGTGTAAAGTTTACAAAATCTTTATCAATTATAATCATATGCATTAGTGCATTCCTAGTTCTAAAAATGGAAGATCACGAAATATATCATTCTCAGAGTTGCCTTTGATATTGTACATGTTTCATGATATAGAAATAAAAGCAGAGTATTGTATACACTTTACCTTTGCATTTTTAACATTCCAAATTCGAATAATTGAGTCCCGTCCAGCAGAATAGAGCCGATTCAATAAAGGATCAAACTGAAGAGAGTTCACTCCTGATCTATGATATTTTTCAACTTCATCACGAATCACATAAGAAACCTAGTTAAGAAAACAAGAACTATTTGAAGACTCACAGAGCTGTCCATTTTAAACACACACACACACTTAAATATCTTTGACAAGTGATAGATAACATAAAGGAATGGTAAAGCTTATAGTTAATTTGACCACAATCACTTGGAGTAATGATTTTTGCAACAGTATACATTATTCATTAGGTTTATTTAATAACACTGTTCAAGAAATAATTTGGTAAAAAATTTTGGGTGTTATATATTTATTGCCATAAATACATACTAGCAATACACTTTCTAAAGTGTAGCCTTAAATATCATCTCTTGAATTATTTCACAACAGCCTTTCCTTTCTTGCATACTTCTAAAAGCTTTTGTCATACTTTTTTTTAGCTAACTTCTCATGGGAAAAGTAATAGACACACACACACACACATGGAAAATTAGTTTGTGGTCAAGACTTTGAGTAATTTGGTAGCTTAATTATCAGACATATTTATGTCTTATAACTACAAGAGTTAAACCAAAGTCACTAACCATACATCAATAAGACACTGAAACCTAACAAATGTGGAAGCAGTGATTTCTTTTCTCAAGATCTAAGGAAGATTAAAGACATACAGACTAACATTTGTTAGTAATAAAACTCTAAAATATATTTTATCAAAACATTTTATACAAAGTTTAACCAAAACTGGAATTTACTCCACAACAGTTAGCACAGAATCTCTCAAAAAAGGAAAACAACAAAACAAAACTTGCCCTTGCTTGTGTCTTCAACTATGCACTAATGACAACTCAATTTTATTCATAATTTTTGTTTGTTTACATATTGAATTTCATGTAAAGCTATTAGTCTGCCCTAATATTGAATTGAACACCAATAACCATCAACATTTGGGTTCTTTTTTCCATACATACTGTTACATATCAGAATTCCGAATAGTCCGAAACCGAGTTAACTGATAATTTAAATTTAGTAGTTAAATTGTCCTTTGGATTTATCATTTAAATATATGCCAATATATAGTCAGTTTGTAATATTTGCCAACAAGATTGATACACACTGCCTTCGTTTTTAACACAAATACGTTTTAATATACATACAACAATACAATTTACAGTAACATTATTGCAAATAGTTATAACAAACAAAGATTTATAAACAAAAGTTTCACAAACTTACAAACAATATAGTCTTTTTAGTTTGGAACTTCCTTGATATCTTATCAAGGGTTTACAATGAGCGAGTTGATGAAAGTATGATTCGCTAGGAAGCTAGCTAGCTTTGTCTCCTTGGCCACACATGCTGTTTTCCACCGTTGAAGTTAGGTAATGTTTTTGCAAAAATACTAATGTCCAATGAGAATCCACTGAAGTTAAACGATTTATAATGTTCGAAATTTGTAAATATTCCTGGTCAAATATCTTAAGGTTTCTGATTGATAAGCATTATAAAATCACAATTATTGTTTTCGAAGTTTATAACACCCTGATTATAATGAACTACTAATAGACACTCAATTTTGGCACAGCACGTTGGTTGTATTTATAGGCATGGGAAGGTTTTCTAGAAAATTCAGCTTACATAACAATATTTGTTAAAGTGTTTACGTATATAGATATATTGTTGATTCTTACTCTCGAGAATCTCCTACAATTGTGGAGAATAGGCAGGAGTTTCGCAATACAAATCTGGCACTGTAAGCTATGCATGTTTTTAAATATAAACTTAATCTAAACAATATTAATATTAAAATAAATACATAACAAATTCATTACAACTTCCTCCTTAGAGAATCAAAAATTGGCATTAGACAATTTTTAACTAAGATATTATATATATATATATATATATATACACACACACACACACACACACACACATTGGCAACAATACATTATATATAACACATTATTCAAAAAATTATACAACTTCAATAATAATTACAGTATAGAATACAACCAATACAAATAACCTTATGATTATAAAATTACACTTAACGTGAAAGTGCATTAGTAAAAATGTTATCAACCCTTTTAACATGGATCATCCTCTTGTAGTGATAAACTACTATTCAACAATCTTCTTTCTTTTTTCTTTCTTTCTTTCTCGCTTTCTTTCTGTATTTTTCTTTCGCTCTCTCTCTTTCTGTCTCTTTCTTTCTGTCTGTCTTTTTTCTTTCTCTCTCTTTTTCTGTCTTTTTCCTTCTATCATTCTTTCTGTCTTTTTCTTTCTTTCTTTCTCGCTTTATTTCTGTATTTTTCTTTCGCTCTCTCTCTTTCTGTCTCTTTCTTTCTGTCTGTCTTTTTTCTTTCTCTCTTTTTCTGTCTTTTTCCTTTTATCATTCTTTCTGTCTTTTTCTTTCTTTCTGTATTTTTCTTTCTCTCTTTCTTTCTTTCTTTTTGATTAGATATCCCATAGTAGGTAACAATGCTGAAAGCATGTCCTCAGAACAGAACTTACATACTTCAAAAGCTGGGATAGGTTTCAAAGGAGCAATAGGAATTTTCTTGTTAGATTTTCCGACTAACTGACAGGTATGACAAGTTTTTCAAAACTGAGAAATGTCTTCCCTAATATTTGATCAAAAGAAATATGTCATAATTCTGTCACATGTCTTGTTGACACCTAAATGACGTACCACGGGGAGTTCATGGGCAATTTTCAATATTTCAGAACGATATGCTTTGGGAACAACGATTTGATAAACAATATCTCAGTTCTCTGAAGTTGGCACATCTGATGGTCTCCATTTCCTCATAAGCACACCATTTTTGAAAAAAATAACCATTTGGAAATTTCTCCAGTTCATCTTTTGGGAGCGTATATTTAAATAGTGAAGAGATATGTGAATCCTTATATTGATCAGCGGTCAGTTTACTTTTAGTAAATGGAACTTCACCAGGTGAATCAGATCCCACACATCCATCGTTGTTCCTCACCGAGGAATCATCAGTAGGGTAATTATTCACAAGATCCTTGTCGGATCCAAAAAATGTCTGAGACAAATCTATAATATTGTCCTCTGAATCCATGCCTATCATTTGTTTTTGGCTTAATTTCTTAGCCTGAGCTCGAGTCACAACACACGAGGGAAACACATTTGGATTCTCCTCAACTACAACATCATCCTTAGATGAAATAGTGATCGGCTCACTATCCGTTTTAGGTTTGGCAACAACTTTTCCCCCAACCAAATCGTTTTCCAACAATAATGATATACTGTCCCCAAACTAGGTCTGATGCTAAATAAATGTTATGAAGAGGAACATTAACAAACTCACCCTGAGCAATGGCAGACTCACCTGTGGCAGAACTCGAATATAAAGGCAATATACCTTATACCAACAATGATTGAGTCGCCCCAATATCACGTAGGATACGTATGGGTATGGGATTGCCAGTATCATTTGTCAAACACACAGAACCAACAGACACAAAAGGTCTAAATTCCTCCCTGATTAAATCAGCCTTTATATCAGTGGCCAAATCAATAACATCGGGTGATCCGGTGAAACTACGTCCATATGTGGACACAAACACATTGGGTGTTGCCTCCTTTTCTTTTTTATTCTTCAAACACCAACAATAGAACATAGCATGACCAGGTTTTTTACAAAAATGACAGACAGGCCTTGATTGTTTTAAAGAAGTTTTATCTTGACTGTCAGAAGATTTCGAAAAAGAGGAGCTGGATTTTATAGAAGGATCTTCAACTTTAGTGGATTGAACAGATACAGGTTTTTGTTGAGATGGTAGAAATTTCATTTTTATGAAAAGTGGTTTTATGTGTTAAAGTATAATCATCGGAAAGAGCAGCTGCTTCCTGTAATGTTTCAACTTTCTTTTCATCCAAGTAAGTTTTGAGGTCGTCATATACACAACGTTTAAATTCGTCAATTAGACATAATTGTCTTAGTTTGTCGAAACTGTTGCCAATATGCATAGAATTGCACCATCGATCAAAATAAACCTCTTTTTCATGGCCAAATTCCATATAAGTTTGATTATCGTGTTTGCGATAACCTCGAAACTTTTGACATGACCAACTAAAAAGTTATAAATACTTTAGCATTGTCTTGTACTCACTCCTGAGGATGACATTGCAACGTCGAAACATGTAGAGTCGTCAAGTGTTTGAAGGCCATAGATAGGCTTGAATAAAATGTTTTTAATTGTGTACCGATTTTAACGTTGAATATTATTTGTGATTTTAACTTTATACACAAGTGCCAAAACACAATAATTATGAGTCTAGAAACGGGACCCACTGCGAAAAGTTTACAAGACAGAGGAGTAAACTAAAACGATTTCCACACTGATTTCTCTAAGTCTTGGCTGTGGTTTCGCTAGATAGTAGATAAGTACAGTGGAAATCTCGTTAATCCATTCTTACTCTCGAGAATCTTCTACAACTTTAGAAAATAGGCGGGAGTTTCGCAATACCTATTTAACAGTATACGTTATGCATATTTCTAAATATAAATTTAATATAAAGAAACGTCGTTATTGAAATAAATATATAATAATAAATCCGTCACACAACCTAAATTTCTACAATATAAAACTCCCAACCTCCATCCTTTTATGAGATGTACAAAAAAAGATAAAAATACTCTCAAAGTAAAAATAGACCACCCTATAGTACAACGTTAAAATCCGGGGTTCGATTCCACGCAGTGGACACAGCAGATAGCCAAATGTGGTTTTGCTATAACAAAAACACACACACACACACACACACATTGAAGTTGGTTATTAATAACCCAAGGATGACCTTATAAATCTGAAACTTACCATTGTCCCACCAGGGACGACTAGTTTTAAAATATTTAGGGTAAAGAACATAGAAGTCGTTAGTTACTCAAGGTAATCCTTGGCTTATAAGTAACTAACTTTAAAATATTTAGGTATTTTGTTCAGTATACGTGGCGGAAAGACCAACCTCAGGTATCTGGACTTTTCTCAGTTCACACGGTTTATATTTGAATACATTTTAAAGAGAGTGGGAGGAGGATAATGAACTAAGAACTATTAAATTAAGGATTTTAGTTCTGTCTAACATTACTTTATACTTATTAAATAAAAGAGTGGAAGTTGGGAGAAATATTGGGTGGTTTATTTCCACTATGGGGGTTGGGAGTTTTACATTGTAGAAATTTAGGGTGGTTTATTTCTAATTTAAGGTTATATCTAAATATTAATGGAAACTGCCTTACCACAACTGGATGCATATAACAAAATGCATTGAGATGTTGTGTGTTCAAGCACTCAACTCCTAAACCTAATCTGATTTTCCTTAGTTACTGGCTAGTTTGATATCGGTATCTGGATCTTGTTTGCTAGATGGAATACACCAACACATTTGAGGTGCTATGGCCACATACATTATCCTTTATGAATTTTAATGATAACAACAAGGACTGGTAATGAAAAAATTAATTTTAATTTTTGAATCTCTTCGTAACGTTTTTGATTTACATTAATTTCATCATTATTTTTTATAGTGCTGATTAAAAAATCGCCGATTTACGATTAATGTATTTGATAGCTTTA